TAATATTAATAATAATAATAATATTATTATTATTATTATTATTAATTATGATGGTGATATTGATGATGATTATGTTGATACTACTATTCGACTAATAATAATAATAATATTATTATTATTGTTATTGTTGTTGTTGTCATTAGTAGTAGTAATGTTGCTGCTACTATTGGTAAAGTCCCATACATCCTCGTAGGCAGAGGACTTTGAGCAAGATGGCTCGGACAAAACGACTGATTTGGCAACACGAGGTGGATCCAGTTGTGGATCCAGTCGTGCAACCTAGCCGGCTCCTCGGCCTGTGCAAGCATGCAGCCGGTCTACTCCGTCCTGCCATGAGGTCGCGCACACACGCAAGCATGAGCCGAAACATTCTGCTGCCCCAACAAGTGGCATGAGTGCAAGACTGTTTTTGTGTGGGCCGAAAGAGGCCTCTTCACTCACCGGCATCGTCTGGCTGCCGTGGACATGAGCTATGGCCATTTGAGCCTCCGGTTGCGAGGAGAATTTGACAAACGCGCAACCTACAGTCGAATGGGCGAAAGAAAGCAAATGAACACTTGATGAGTGTGAAAGAGAGCGAAAAATGGAATAAAAACGAAAAGATACTAAATGACAATTGGCATTTAGGCACCGCATTGCATATTTCAATATGACATTATCCTCCAATATGCTCTTTTTGCTTGAAAGTATACACACTTCTTGTAGCTCGTCAATTTACAACCAACCCGATATCTCGTCCACACACTCTCTCTCTTTGTTTCCTCTTTTACACCTGTCTATCTAGACACTTGCCTGTCTACTCAAATGTCCTTAATTCATTATTTGTCTGTTCATCTACATTTTTATAGCTCACTGTATCCTATCTAGCTAATCATTCATCCATCTTGCAATCAATCATGCAATCCATATCCGCAAATTAACATATAGACTTAATATGTCGGCAAGTAAAGTAACCATCTGTCCGCTCAATAATCCATTAATTTGCCTATTTGTTTATTTATCTATAACAATCGATTTATACATATTCTATATCTATCGCTTTTATAATTGTTATTGCTTCATTTGAATGTCTGCCTAAAAGAGGGAAAATAAGTAATACAGTCGGTTGCCATAGCTAATACAGCAATGCCTAATCGATAATCCCACCAGAAAATGTAATATGTGAAAGGCTTAATCCTTTTGCGCTGTGAACCGGTTGTGGGAAATTGTGTGAAATTGAATAGAAACGCGGCAAAATTCAACTACCATTCGTTCACACGTTTAAACAATTCAGTAGTCATTTTTATTTATTTATTGTTAATAATCAAATCCAACTATCCTTTATATGTGTCACTTTTATAGGGCCTATTTCTTCCTTTTCTCTCTTTCTGTCTCGACCTATTCATACATTTGTCCAACGCCCTTTTTCCCATTCAATCGATCAATCTAGCCATCAGTCGCTAATTACTAGTTTACTAATCACATCTTTCATCGTGTCCATTTGTCTATCCAGCCCTGCATGCACAAATGTGCCCACCAGACTTGTCTGTGGATGATATCCATTTCACTTTTCCTGCCAACCTACAGTGACCAGCAAAGTGGACGTCCAATTGTATCGGCCAAACAGACAACTACTCTCTCCAAAGCATAGCATTTACGCCATCGCCAATGGAGACTGTCATGCCAAGGGTAGAATATGGACTCCAGTCTTGCCGCGTC